CATTCTAGCACTGAAGATGTTACCTAGCCAGGTAATGAAACGTTTGCAAGAAAACAACCAAGCTCAGAGAACCCCAAGGACTCCAGAGTTCATCTCCACTCACTGATTTATGGTCTTAACTGTAAAAATGAGCCCATCTATCTGACTCTGGATGTGAGCCAGGCAAACATGGGAACCACAGATATGCTTGCCTCCACCATGTCTATTTTGGCCTCAGTCTCCCCCAGAGGATCCCTGCAAGAGATGTTCTCTTGTCAAAGTCTAACTGACAGCTTAGCAATAAAAGTAACTGGCAAAGAATACTTAGCTAAATCCCTCGACTGTCTGTTATCATAGAGTGCTTTCTAAAATGGAAAAGAGAAAAATTCCAGGGAAATCACGTCATCTTTTTAAAGATCTGCATGTACACATACTGCACGAGCACACAGATGTAGCATATGTTTCTCCTGGCTCTGAATCTTGACATGTTTAATGCAACTGCTGTTTTATTATAGATAATGATCCAGCAGTAGTTACCTTTTCGATAGTAAAGTACCACCACAGCCATTGCTAAAAGTAAATCTTGGGTATTTTATTGTTCCTGGGAAAGCACCCAACCATCTAAAGAGCCCTGTTCCATCAGATAAATACTCTGTTTTATCCAACAGCCTGAGGAAATCACTAGTTGTGAAGACAGCGACACACACACAAACTTTTTAAACCCGCCCTGCCCCAAAGTGATATTTCAGGAAGACTCTTTCTAAGCCTAGAGGTTCCTGAAAGGGTACTTCTAAAGCTTCATGTCTGAACCAAGAAATATATGAGATGGGAATGATTTGGAATTCCCTGTGTAATGAAGAGCGAAACTTCAGCTGCAATAATTAGTTCAATTAGGCTATACTTTAGGTTGCTTGTAAAATGTAAAGAGCCTTTCAGGTTTTATTTAAAAGCTTGTAATTATTTACACTTTGCAACATTATATATTCAGTTTAATAGAGCAAACTGCCTTCCTGAGAAATTTCCCAAATGTTACTTTTGAAATTTAGCCCTTCTCTGTGTTTTAACAATGGGAAAAGCTTTTCCTTTTGGCAGATAGAATTCCTCCAGCTGTGCCGTTTCATGAGAGGTTGACAGAAGGCTACAACCACATTGTGAGAGGTCCTCTTTTAGAATTCAGTTCTTTATCCTTGTACATCTCGATGAGGAACTTTGCAACTTTTCTAGATAGTTGCATCTAGAACTCAAAGAATTTCAAAGAGTTATTTGTTTTTTAAAAATGATATGGCCACCCATCTTCTGCAATATAACCCCAGGTGGCTGCTAACAATCAAACCAATATGAATGCTGTATACTAAAAGATACAAATAGAAACCCCACAAATTAAAGACCATCACACTAACCAAGGTACCATAACAACCTCACACTAGTTGCATATGCTGGGTTCAGTTCACATCCTGGCTTAGTCCCTGGGGGAAGAACCAGGTCTTTGTGGCTTTCTGGAAGATCAAAAGGGTAGGGGGCCTCTGAATTTCAGTGGGGAGGCTGTTCCATAGGTTAGGCGCCACGTTATATAGGTCATATGGTACCTTTAGTGTGGAATGTATTATTTGCACATTAGGATACTTTATCACTGTTGAGGTGTTGCTCTTCTGAAGTCAGCTAGTTCCATATAACAGTTCATGTAGAGCTATTTTATTCAGTAGTGCCTGTCCTTGTTATATCTGCTCATCAGTAACATTCAGAATGGGTCTTTTTCCATGATAATCATGCAAAGTTACTAAAATGCTTTCTGCCTGCATTTGTTTCCTTTAATATTTCTAGTTGAATATTACTATAGAATTGCTATTTTTATTTTTATTTATTTTATTAAAGTTTCATTACATTTATAAAGCTGTCCAACTCTATAATGACTCTGGGCCGGGCACAGTAAAAACGCTAACAAAATACAGGTTAAATACAGCTAAAAACCAAATGCCTGCAAAAACAATCATTCTAAATAGAAAAATACACAGGACTTGCCAAACACTCTAACCCAAGGCCTGGGGGGAGCCCAAATTTTCAAAGCTCTTTTAAACACAGAGTGGAGGCCAGATAAATCCTGGGCAGGGGGGCTGCTGTGACAAAGAAGGTGCATTTCTTAGGTCCCATTAGATGGCACCGCTTCTTGGAGGAGACAGGAGCGTGCCTACTCTGATTATTGAGCAGAAACTACATAAAACAGCTAGCCGGGCCCTATGTTATGAAGCACCTGACAGGTAATAACCAGCACCTTGAATTGCACCCAGAATCTACTGGAAACCAGTGCAGCTTATGAAGCAAAGGTGTTACATGAGCATGACATGGCATGCCCATAATTGCCTATGCCACTGCATTCTGTACTAGTTGCAGCTTCCATGTGGTTTTCAAGAGCAGCCCCATGCAGAACACAGTGTCGTAATCCATACATGAGATGACCAAAGTGTGAGTGCTGGACTGAAGGGTCTCTCAGTCCATGTAGGAGCACAATTGGCACATAAGATGGACTTAAGTGAAGACCTTCATAGCCAAACTGAGCAGAAGCTGTAAGTCCAAGTAGACCCCCAAATTGTGCACCAATCCTAAAGGAGGCAGTGCAACCCTGTTCAGGATTAAAGATGAATAATTCCCACTTCTGTGGGGTCCAAAACCCAATTCTGCTAGGTTTTGTCAGGGATGTGCTTGAGCCTGTTCCAACATCTCCTGGATGGTCTGGAATCAAGATGTACAGTTGTATATCTTCCACATATTGATTATATATGACCACAAACCAAAGAATGACCTCACCCAATGGCCTCATGTATATGTTAAACAGAAGAGGGGAGAATTATTCCACACACTAGAGGCTTTGGATCTGATTTTTCCTTCCTGTCAACATCAACTGGATCCAACCTTTGGGGAAGGTAGGTGAGCCACTGCAGCACTGTGCCCCCATTCCTAATCCCTGTAGGCAGACTAGGAGGATACCATGGTCAATGGTATTGAAAGCAACAGAAAATTACAGTTGCACTACTGTTCTGGCTCCACCAAAGGTTGTTAACACGAGCAATCTGATCTTCTCAGTACTGTGTCCAAGCCTGAAATCTGACTGGAAAGGGTCCAGATAAATCCATTTCTACCAGGGCCCTCTTTAATCACAGCTCAATCACCTTCTCAACAACCTTCCCTAAAAAGGAAAGGTTGAAAATGGGATGAAACTTATCCAGTACAGTTGGGGCCTCTTGAACAGACTCACTACCCCCTCCCTCAGTATGGATCCAACTATGTCACCTTCTGGGCAGCCTTCAGCAACCAGGAGGGACATGGATGTGATAAACAGGTGGTCAGGTTAGCAGATCCAAGGATCCTGTTCACCTCCTCAGGAGTTACAGGTTCAAACTCATCTCAGCTACTCACATGAGACCTTGCTTCCATCACCCATTTGGACCTGCCCAGTCATAGTCCAACTTCAGCTGAATCCTAATGACTTTATTTGCTGCTATTCTTCACAGTGATTCCTCAAATGGTCCTGTAATTCATTCCTCCCCAGCAGGGTATGGATCACTTTAAAAAGGGGATCTGGAAGGCTATCTATGGACATGATAAGAGCAGAAAAAGAGTTTTGTAACTCTTATTGCCACAATGTAATTGCTAATATGGGATCTTACTTGTGGTCAGTCAGATTCGCTCTTCATCTTCCTCCAACAGGGCTCTAGACATCTCTTCTGGTGTTTCAGCTCCTAGAGTTCCTCAGAGAACCAAGGAGCACTCCAGGATCAGCAAACAATAAGAGGCTGCATAGTAGCAATCCAATCAAAGGACCCTGTTACATGTCTGTCCCAGGCAGCATTCAAAGCTTCAGCTAAGGTGCCCATCAAATACTCAGGAAAAACTTGAGGCTTCCTCTGGAAGCCAGCAGGGTTTATTAGTTGTCTATGATGGGTTAATCTGACAGGTCCAACTTCCCTGCTGGAGGAGGTAGCACCAGTAGGCCAAAAGCAATTAAAAGAGTTACCTGACCATGGCAATCATAACATCCTCAGCAGCCAAATCACATTGCAACTCCCCTGAAATAAAAACCAGATTTAGTCTGTGTCCTCTGGTACATGTTGGGCTCTCAATTACTTGGATGGGGTCCATGGTTATCAAGGTAGATGTGAACCCCTGAGTTGACCCAGCCTCAACCTCACCTAGGAGGAGACTTGAAGTGCCCAAGGACCACAAGCCTTGGGGGTTCCATACCAACCTGGGGATGGAGTCTAGCAGTTCAGGCATGGATGTCACTGCACAGCAGGGAGGCTAGTATAACAGCAACAAATCTAAGCATTCCCTACAGCCTAGCTTCAACCAGAGAATCTCATCCAGTTACCTGCAGAGCAGGGCCTCTAAAAGTCCATGAGACCTCCTCGATGACAACTGTCATTCCACCCTCTCCCTGGATTCACAGCTATTACTAGACTCGAAACCCAGATGGGTATAATTGCAAGCAGGGCAATCTCCCTCTAAGGTCACCCAAGTCTCGGTTATGCCCACCAGGTTGGTTACCTCATCTACAATGAAAGAGGAAGGTCTTATCACATACCAACCTGGCTCTCTGAATAATTGTTTCCACTATCAAATTATTCTTACTGCTAGATTTTTTTTTTTAACATTGATCTGGAATTTGCCTTCCTGTAACTGGAATCCATTATTTTTTGTCTTATACTCTGGACTGATGGAAAAGATGTTTTAATCTTTATAACAACATTTTAGGATTTAGAAGTCCTCCACTAACTCTACTCTGCTCAAAGTTACGTATTTCCAATTACTTCAGTCTCTCTTCACATGATTTAGTTTCTAGCTCACTGATTCTTCTTCACCTTCTTGGAACCAGTTTGTCTGAATTTAAGGTATGATTAAATTCATACTGAACACAAAGCCCAAAACTGAACACAAAGCCCAAGCTGGGGTCTGATCAACATAGAATAAAGTGAAATTCTTCATACTAAAGTAGTTCTTAATCACTGATTTATATGTTTCTTATACAGAACGTCAGTATTGGGGTTCTGATCTTGAACTCCCTACTATGGCCTTTGAAGAGGTGTTGCATAGTGATGAAAGTGCATACAAGTGGTTGGTTACCCTTAAAAAGGTGGGAATTGTGCTGCTAACAGGAGCTGCTGTTAAACAGGGAGAAATTCTGAAGCTTGGACAACGCATTGGATTCCTTCGCCTCACATTTTATGGGTAAGTTAGTATATTTTGATTTTTGAAAATGATGTGGCTTTGTCTGCCAGATCTTAGCATGTAACACCTTTTGGGGCAGGGGGAAGAATAAATGTATGTAAATATTATGTTACAATTTTCTTCACATTTCTGGTATTAATGCAACCAGATAAGATCCTAGTAGAATAAAGTCATTTCTGTCAGTCCAGAGATAGCTTCAAGTATGTTCAGTATTAAGGTATAATACAAATCATGGTTTAACCTTACAACAGCCAGACAGACAAGAATCATATATTGTTCTGCCTCTTCCAGGACAACTATAAGGAGGGATTTGGAAATTAATTTTAAAAATTCCAATTTTAATTAATGGCACCTTATCAGTTTTGAATGGGACTGGACTTGCTTCCAAAAACTAATTATAGTTTTTGGAAGCAAGGCAACTTCATATCATGATTTGGGAAGTTACCACTAGCAAAAGTTTGAGACATTTTTAATATCCTCATAGCCAACCCGGGAGAAAAGCAGAGAGCAGAGTTTCCTTATCTGAGATAGGATTAACATATCTAGGCTGCAGTAATCCAGATGGCCAATAGATGACAGCAAAAGGATATTTGTTTCCATTTGGTTTTTATCTGAATTTTGGTGTATTAAACCTACAAGTAGAATTACAGTGTGTTTCTATCTTGTTTTTCATGTGAAACAGCGGGAAATTGTGCCTCTGTTTCTTGGCACTTTGCCACTGAAATTTAGCAATATAATTTTGGGAGATCTAGGGGCCATACAAAGGGATTTGTCTTTCTCATGATTTGCAGGCTGCTGCACATGATGTAAATCACGGGTTAACCTTTCAGGTGAACCAGTTTTTGGCATAGAATAAACATACATATATTTTTTAACCTGCAATGCTATAGTTAGCAATAGAAAGTTTTAGAATCAGCTTCCCTATAACTCCCAGAATCTCTGATCATTTGCCTTGCTGAATTGAGCGGATGAAAGTTATAACTGAAAGCATTTGGAGGTCCTCAAGTATCATAGCTTAGCAAACTAGCATTTTCGCTTTCCCATTTTGTAACCTGGGTATAATTAAAAAGGATGTACTGTAATTATGGTAAAGTCTGCTTTCTCCCAGTACATGCATATTGGCAGACTAGCCAGTGGTGATAAAAGACACTGTTCATTATTAATAAAATTTGTATCTTCGCTGAAAGCATCAAATCCATCATTCAACCCCTCTACTACCAATAATGGTATTACACTTCAGAAGCCTAACTTCACATAAAACAGATTGTACATCTCTGTTCAAGGCAACAGATTCTGCAACCATGGTGTCTTATCTCTACCTTGTCCATCCTATGTTTCACCTTATCGTTCTTGTTAGTCTTGAAACAGCCTTTAGACATCTGTTCAGAATTTGTGGCTATGGTCAATGTGGGTTACTGGAAGCTTCACTTTAAATGCTGATACTAACCTTCAGAAATGTGACTGTTTAATTCAAACACGCAATAGACACATACTTTCCGGTTTGTTGAAAAATAGGTTTATGCAGCAACACATTTATCATGGTCACAGTCACAAATATATTTAACTCTCTCAGCAGAAGGGCCGTCTGTTGGAGGAGCCAGAAACTGGGGTCTTGTGGAAATTTTGAGAAATTTTTGTGTGAATTTTATTGTCACTTAAAATATTTATACTTTTTCAGGTTCTGCAAGTGGGGAGCCATTTCAGTTAGACAAGCTTGAATTTTTGATGTCTGTAGTAGGACTATCATATCTGAGCTGCAGAAATCCAGATGATGATGATGATGATGATGATGATATTTTAATCCCACTTTTTTTCTATATAACTCAAGGGGGCGAAAGTACCTAATACTTCCTCCTCCAATTTTCCCCAGCAACAACCCTGTGACATGAGTTGGGCTGAGAGAGAGTGACTAGCCCAAAGTCACCCAGTTGGCTTTCATGCCTGAGGGAGACCTAGAACTCACAGTCTCCTGTTTTCTAAGCCAGCACCTTAGCCACTATTAGATTACTAGGAGATGGCAGCAAACAGAAAACTCTCTTTATTGACCCCTAGTGGTCATCTGGATTTCTGCCATCCAAATAATAGTAGCCTTTATCTGTGGATTAAACAGTATGCATTAGGTATGTCTGTTTGCCATTTTAGTAAAGTCTCTAAAATCTGCATCTCTAAAAAAGACTCTCACATTACAAGATGAAAATTATTTGGAGAATCCTTATGCAGACTAGCAGATCCCCAGTATTTTCAACTCCTCATTTAAGTACTACTCTCTGTAATAGTGACATTTCTCCAAGTTATGTATTTAATGATCGGCTGAAAAGCCACAAAACCCAGTAAATTCAAAGCCTTCCAGCCAACAAAGACTGTTAATATTTTCCCATCTTTTGTTTTAGATAATATCAGTTATTCTTGTTGGAAACAACAACATTTCTTTCTCCTCTGTCTGAAACTCTTAAAAACAAACAGGAGAAAGTGATTACATATACACATTCCTAACCTTGGCTAGAAGATTTACATTCCTTCCAGATTAGAACACAGAAGCAACAATGACTCCCCCCTCCATGATTTTATACAAGGTGACATGGAAGCTCTATTTGGGTATGCAGCATTGATTTAGCCAATCTTACCCAAATTGGCACCCTGCACATGTGCTGTAGGAGACAAAATTCCTAGACAGTACAGGGGTTGAGAATGCAGGTTGGTTGTTTTCTTGCACATGTTTCATTATCCGACCAGGTAACTTCTTCAGTGCTAGAAGGGAGTGGGGTTTTCTCTCTGTTTATATGCAGTAGCTTGCCCTGTCAGTGTTGGAGGGGGTGTTGTTTATTTCTTGGTAGTTCCTAGATTAGGCTGTTGTTTACTGCTTGACTGTGTCTGAGTTGGTAGGGAAGAAGAAAACAACAACACGCGACCCTTCCTGGATATCCACATCAGCAGAGGAAATGAGGCAGATTAGAAACACAAATCTGATGAAAATCAACTTACTCTAACCAAGTGCTCCATTACCAAAGTAACAACCCAACCTCCCACAAGAGGAGCTGTGTAAGGACATTATTCAGACAAGTACAAACGCATTGCAGCAACCCAGAACAGCAGAAAAAGGAACCAGACCACCTATACAACGTCTTCCAACAAAATGGATACCCACGCAACTTTATCAAAAAGGGCCTGACCACTCAACCCACTACAGCACAACCAACACAAGCTATGAAAAGGATAATGCATGTTACAACAAATATGTTTACTATAGATTTCAACTCTTAATAATTAAACATAGACCACACAGAATG